AAGTAGGCAACTTTTCGACTCTGTCCTGGTTTCTCGACAGAGAGCGCGGACCTTGTTGATCCGAGCGACGTCCGAGCCGGTATAAGTTTTCAAATTGATTGTACATGGTTGGTTTCTTTCGTCTTCCTCTTTTACAGATGGCAGTATCTGCACTCCTTCCACCTAACGCTCCTCCTTTACCCAGACTTGCGACTGGCACAGAAATTGCTGGATTGCGACTTCCATGGCGGAGTTATTATGACATGTGCGTGAAGCAAAAATAGATAGATCTTTTAAAAGTAGACTGGTCAGACAAGCGATATGAAATTGATAATTAAAGGCAAATCAAAAAGTATCCAAGTCTTTAAAAAGATGATCTGTTCCTATGTTATATTAATTTATTTTATTTGATCATATTTAAATTCTAATGCTTGTTTTTTCCTAATGAATGAAAATTTATTTGATTTATCTAAAAATTAACAGTCAACATGTCAATTTAGATTGATTGGAGTTGAATTTCTCAAGCGACAACAAAAGATTTTTTTATTCAATGAGACAATATGATAAAGATGTGTAAGATAAACCATAGTTGAGATAAAACAACCATAAACAGCATGTTTGTTTCTCTCAAGCGAACAATTTATCTTATGTATAAGACTTCAATATCATAGAAAACTGACAGAACATCGATAGTTTTTAGAATATACAACAAGGGGGAAACGGCGGATTCCGGATTCCCGGGATTCCCAAGGTTCTCAGGATTCCCACAGGATTTCTAGGATTCCCACGGGATTCCCGGGATTCCTATGGGAATCCCGTGGGAATCCTGGAAATCCCGTGGAAACCCTGAGAATCTTGGGGATCCTGGGAATCCGCCGTTTCCCCCTTGATTTTGAGAGTCTTGTTCTAATTCTCCAAGTTCTGAGTCAACTTCTTCGTCATCATTGTCATCACTAGTATGTTTGGCCTGTTTATTTTTGATGATTACTTTATCTATTGATGACTCTTAGGCACACACTCTAAAAAATTTCCGTATCCTAGAAAACCGAAAAGGGTTCGAAAACCCACTCGGAAACCCTTATCCGTTTCCGAGAGGGTTCCAGAACAGTGAAAGCGTTTCTAAAAATACCCTTTCGGTTTCCGAACGTTCGGAAACCTAGAGGTTTCCTACACTCCCCAATTGGACACTCTAAAAGTATTCTAGAATACCTTTTTCTTGCTGTTGGAAATCCAAATGTTGTCTCGCAAACTGGAAAGGTATTGTCGAAAACCCATATTAGAAGAAAAACTGAGTCAGTATCCGAAAGGGTATGCGAAAGTACCTTTTCATTTCCTGAACGGTTTCCGAAAAAACCCAATTTCAAAAGGGTATCATAAGAAGCCAAAATGGGTTTACGAGGGTGTGGGTGTGGGTGGGTGTGGGTG